GGTGGGAGCACCTGTTGGGATAGGACTTGTGGCTGGGATAGCCGTGCCCGCCATGATCATAGGAATACCTGTATGGATCGGGAGAAAGGTAAATAATAATAAAAAAAATTAAAAATACCTTTGTCAAGAAGTTTTTTTTTTTTTTTTTTTTTTTTTTTGCTTGTTGGTTTGTTATATACGAAACTTAAGGTCAGACAGTGAAAGTGGGGAAATTAATAAATTATTCAGGAAGGGTTTGAAATTTTCTAACTGAGAAGTAGTGATATTTTGGTGATCCATTTCACAATATATTAATTAAGTAATTGTTGGCCTCCCATCTATGTTGAGACAGTAGATTCTTGGACCCCAGTGTTTCAAAGGGTCAGCAACCTGTAAACAATTCAGTATATTGCCAGAGCACTCACAGAATTGACCTGGAGGGAGATCACAGTGTTAAAGGCTGATGGTTGTCTTAACTGTGAACATTTCATTTTTTCAGCTCCATGCTAAATACCAGCATGCTCCTAAACACAAGAGGAATTTGATAATGACAGGTGGGGTGTCTGCCTCCATCATTTTGTCACCTATATTGGCTGGTCTGGCAGTGGGTAAGTTCACCCTTCCCCTCCTCTCTCTCTCTCTCTCCCTCTCATTTATTTCATTAAGTCTAATACATTACAGTCCTTGAGAAATAAGCACTTAGATGACAGTGTAGCAAGACTGTATCTTTTCAATTATCTGTAAGATGCACATGTAATCAGCAAAATCAACAAATGTAGGAATATCAGTGACACAGCTGTCAGAATTATGTCTCCAAATGAAGTTGTAAAAATCTTATATATTTTTTTCTTTTTGTCTAAAACATAAATAAATAAATAAAACTGGACAAAAGTGCATTCCTTCCGGAACTTGACACCATTTTTACCTGGCCAGTATCAGTGTGTTATAAGGGTAATAAACAGTTGGATATATATATATATATATACATATTGTCAATTCCAGGCATAGGCGTTCCAATCCTGCTGGCCTATGTGTATGGGGTGGTCCCCATCTCCCTGTGTCGCAGCGGTGGCTGTGGGGTGTCTACTACGGGGGACGGAGGGGTCCGCTTTGAGTTTGACGATGACCAGGAGGTGACTGTTGGTGTGTCTGGACCCTATGCTGGTAAGCTGTAGTACGGTGGATTTTATGATACAATATTCTCTACCAAATTGCATTTGTTTTTAAGGGCATTGATGTCAAATATCAGTAAAGGGATATTACTGTCTTTTTTAAGCTATTAAGAGAGTGTCTCTTTATTTAATGAAAAAAAAAACTGTTTGCCTCGATCATCAGTTGTCCATAAAGTTCAGAAACCGAGTATACTCCCCAGCAGGGATATTTGGTGTTAATTCATTGATATGCCTAACTGAGCTGGTGGTTCTTGCCCAGGAGACATCTACATCTCACTGATCCTATAGTTATTTAGTAGGATACTGCCAAGGTGTTTGCCCCTCTCATACTCATGTGTTGACAGTTTCATCATCATTGAGTAGAGCAGTAATTATCTTTAATTTACAGCTAACTATTTTGTCTCATATATAACTATTTTGTCTCATATTTTCTCATCAGGGAATGCGGGATGGGGGGTGGGGGCTCAGAGGGGTGAATATTAACCACTAAATCATCTTTGTATTCCCAGGAGACAGTCAGAGTGTAGACACAGGTCACCCTAGTCTTGCCAACCCCAGTATAGGCCCCAGTATTGGAGAGGCCTCTGTAGGGATGACCAACAGCCTCAGTGCCAGCGGCAGTCACATTGACAGGGCCGGGGTGATCCGGGACGAGCAGGAGTGCGACCGCGACTCGTCCAGTAACCGCGCCCTGGCTGGCTCTGTGTTGCTGGACGGGAGTCTGTCGGGGAGTGCCGTGGCGGGACCCAGTGGATTTTCCAACAGGTGAGGACAGACCTACATTGATTGTAGTTTCAGCATGGGAGGTTGTGGAATAGGCATAAGTGCCCAGGGTTCGCACAACTCTTGAAAACCCTTGAAAACCCTTGAATTTTATTTTCTAAAATCAAGTCCTTGAATATGCTTGAAAATGGAGCAAAACCCTGGAAAATAAAAATAAACCCTTGAAAACCCTTGATTATGCTTGAAAAATAAAAAAACGAACTTTTTAAATCATTTATGATTATTAAAAACAAAATTCGAGTCGGTCGTTTTTTAACGTCGATATATAACAGTCTGTCGATATATAACAGTTTTCCCCAGAAGTTGGGAAAAACGATGTTGTCCTGTCTTGGTAAAACATAACAAGGAAAAACGGTGTTGTCTTGTCTTGGGAGAAATGTACCTCTTTAGTATGAAGAAATTGTTTTTTAACTTGGATTCCCGACTTTTGTTTAGTTTGTTTTAATTCAATGCAATATCGCAAGAATAATTTGTTTGTGCTTATAGCTGATCACAGTGATTTTAATCTGAAAGTAATGCTTACACTTAGCAATGTAGGTAAATGGAGTGATATGCGACCATGTCCATTCATTAGGAGGATTAAGCAATGCCCCAGTTACAACAGCCTTACTGTTGTCTGCAGGGAGTGCTAGACAAAGATATCAGAATTACTTAGAGGGGAAAAAGAAAGCAAGCTGAAGAGGACGGCAAAAAAAAAAAAAAAAAAAAAAGAAAAGAAAGTCTGTAATGGAAGACATTGATTAAATTTAAAAAAAAAAAAAAAAACGCATGGAAGATGACATTTGTGAATTGCTTAAAGTCATAATAACTTTTTGTTTGGCCAAAAAATGAATTTTCCTGGAGTAAACAACAATTTTCCCATACTTACCAATGATAAATGAATCCATTTTTACATTCAAAGTTAGCCCCTGTTTTTTTTCTAAAAAGGTTGGTTTTTTGTTAAAATCTCTTAAGAGATTTTAACAGAGTATAGCCATCAATGGTGGTCTAAAGACAAGCTTAGATATCAGAATAATAGCTATAACTGCCATTATTGTGGTAAAACAGAATATATTATATTTCTATAAGTCATTCACAATGTTTTAATTGTGAAATAAAGATCTCATACGGAGAGTTACAAATATGCACAGAAGGCTGAGACGTGCAGCAGCCTGTCAATGATTTCTAAGTCAAACAGCCTCAGGAGATCTGCCTCAGAAAAAAGGAAACTTTAAAAGAAAAAGAAAAAGAATTGGAAAACAAAATAATTCAGATGAAAAATATATA